CACGTCTCAGTGGATTAATGGTATACGGGCTCGCTCGCCCTGGTGGGTGCATACTAGTGAAGATCCCAAACTGGGACGAAACATGTGGCTCTCCAGTACTCGCAGATTTTAACTAGTGGTTCTCTAACCGATGTTAGCTCACGATGAAGTCCTATAACCAGTCAAATCCCTACAAACCAACACTGTAATAAATATATTTGTCATTTTGGTATAAGAACCAATCATTCAATGTGGCGATTTTTTGTAACTAACGTAAACGTTTATGATAACATTGAGAAAGTGGATAACTGGAATAATGCATGTATTTTCAAAATACTTCCACTAGAGAAGACATATGCATAGACTAAAATAAAATCCTACAATGGTGTGTAAAACTGATTGATATGGGTAGACAGACACCACTGAAATCAACCAGTAGCGTTTGCTTTTCAGATCACAGTGAGCTAAACGCCAGACAGCCGTTTCTTGCATTCAGATCGCAGGTCGCCATCAGAAATATACCGGATTCGACTGAGTTTAAGCACAGATGAGATACAATTATTTTTCATTTATTTGCGTTCCCAGTGGATCTTAGCACTTCAAGCTTTAGCCTTTGAAGTTTCAGTAACATTTGTGTTGTTTTCTTGTGAAGTGGGGTCGCTAGCCACATGCCTAAGCTCCTCCCTTTTCTGGGCTTACTACGCGCCAATAAATTAAACACGGTTTAGGACTATTTCGACCGAGAATCGAACGAACCTCGAACAATGCGCATGGTTGTAGAGCATTCTACTCTCTCTTAAACCACCAACGAACAAATAAAAGTTTATCATTGACAAAATAGCTTAGCTGGTACAATACCCGACTAGTAATTCAACAGTTACTGGTTCGAATCTTGCCACGACCTAGAATTTCACATCATGATCTGTAATCATAACGCATTAAGAACAGAATTAAAACCCAGGAAATCATAAAATTATCTTAGTCTCACTGTCACATAATCATAATTTTTAGATATTTTAGTGGTGTGGCGTTATCATTATTCCCTCGAGTTTCTAGCAGGACATAGGGCTTCAACAACACATAGTCATTTCGCTCTATTCTCTGCAATCCTATTAATTGGATTCACAATCGCCCACAAGAAAACATCTCCACCTCAAACGATCTTCTCCATGTCATCTTCGACCCGACGCCATTTGGGTTCCAATCGATGACTTGACACGCAATGTGTCCGATCAATCCCAATTTTCTTTGGCATATTTCTTAGGCCATACGTTCTTAGTTGGTTCGTTGTCACAGTTCCTTGCTACCTATTCCTTTTCTGGCCATCTAATCTTCAGTATCAAGCAAAGGCAGTTGTGGATAAAAGTCTGTAGCCTGTTTGAAAGGCTTTCCGTGACGCGATTGTGAAGCTTCTAAATCATATGGAAGAATTTACTTTACAATGGTGTTTAAAATCCGAGTCTTGTTTTTGCGCTGATTTTAGCAAATTTCCGCAATGATCCTGAAGAATGAAGGTTTTTCTTGCTTTTGCAATCCTCCCTTTGAAATTTTTATCCACTCCGCCTGTGGTTCATATTATGCTGCGTAGATAAATAAAAGTGGTAACAACTTCCAAATTCATCTCTTTGATTATGATTGGTTGGTTACCCTCCCGACTACTGTCTTCTACAAGCTCATTGGAAGTCTTGTATTCTCTGTCTCTAATGGCAACTTGTTCGTTTTTGTCTGTAGATCTTCAGGTTTTTAAATGACTGATATAATTCGTTCACAAAGTCAAGATCTTCAACTTTTTTTAGTCTTCCCGCTCCCCGCAATCTGACGCATGGTGCAGTCCACTACAATCAGGAATATCATCAGTGATAGTTGGTAGCTCTGTGGAGTGTGAGTGACAAGATTTTGGAAGCAGTACATTAAGTATGACTTCTTTTTCAAGGATATTGAGTAACGGAGTTAAATCACGAAGTGGAGAAATGAAAGGTTCTAGTGAAACATAATATAAAAAGCATAAAAGAAGAGGAAAGAAGCAGAATATACCTTCATTTTATATCATTACCTAAGTGAACATCTCTGATATCAATACTGTCGTGTTCTGCCATTACAATGGCATGCATACAACAGACGAAACCAGTTCGTTTTTCTTTTACCCTTCAAAAGAATATATTATTATTATTGATCCCTTGGGTTCCTATGGAACATAGGGCCTCAACTGCACGTCTCCACTTGCTTCTGTCTTCAGCTGTTCTTTTCACCTGCATCCATGTTACTCCATACTGTTTCAACTCCTCTTCATACGATATCCTCCATGTCACCCTTGAACTGACGTCTCACTCGCCGATTCCATTTCGGATTCCACTGGGGCAATAGCCTGACGCGCGATGTCACCCAGCGGCCTCCTCAGCCATGAGTGTCCAATCCATCTCCACTTTCTCCTGCATATTTGTTGGTTGGCGATTGGTTCTTGTTTTTGTTTGTTCCCATAGTTTCTTGTTGGTGAATCTTTCCGGTCCGACCATCTGATTTTCAGTATAGATCCAGCGAAGACAGTTGTTGGTTGATGAAGGTCTGCAACAGGCTGTTGGAAATATTCTTTGTGACCAGTTGGCCAAGTTTCTGATCCGTATGGGAGAACTGACTGACTTGATGTTTGTGTTGAAAATCCTACCGAATCTTGTTGTTGATGCTGAGTGATGAAGATTTCCAGACTGGTTTCAGGTTGATGAATGCGTTTCTCGCCTTACCGATTCTCGCTCGATTTGACATCCTCGTCCGTTCCGACTTCCTGTAATTGAGACAATGCTCCCTAGATAAGTGAATGAAGTAACCTCTTTCAAATCCCTCCTTTTGATGGCGATTGGCACTGGATGTTGCTGCTGTTGTTGTTGTTGGTTGGTTATTTTCATAACTTCCGTCTTGTTTATGTTCACCTCGAGTCCTGTCTTCGCTGGTTGCTTCTTCGACCATTTTGTGGTTTTCGCTTGTAAGTCTTCGATTTTGTGTGACAATATTATTAACTGGAAAACGTAGATGTACTTCAGGAGTTTAGTAGTACAGTGGTCTGCAGCTTGTGATTTCATCTGCATTTTAGTCGAGGTATAAAACTCCAATGAAATCAGTTAAAACGGGTTATCTAAGCGGTTGTGGATCACCGAAAGCCTTTTTAACAATTTGACGTACACTTCTATTAACAGCTGCCTTCTCTCAATACTGAAGATGCAATGGTCGAAAAGGAGATCTGGCAACTAACCAATCAAGGACCTATTGTTCAACAAACATGCCGAAGAAAATGGAGATGCAATCAGACCCTCTATTAGAAGCCGAGTGGGTGAGGGCGAGTTGGCATAAGGTAGAGGGTACATAGAGGAGAAATTGTGTGAGAAGGTAATGAAATATTGCGGGTAATTGGGGATCCAGCTAATAGGATTGAAGAGAATAGAATGAAATGAAGATATGCTGTTGAACCCTTACTTTCCACTTGGAACCCAAAAACGATTATTAGTAATCTAGGCAATTCCATATTAGTTTGTTTATTTGATATATCACACAGTGAAACAGTATCATTTACTCGATGACGTTTCGAACAAAATTTATTGCTTTTCATAATCATATCATCAACTATAATCACACGACTTCGAAACTTGAGTTTCATAGTTTCTTTGTCTTCTCCTATTTGTCGTAGGGGTAGTAGAATTTTCCAGATATCTGGGTGGACAGATGATGAATCATTCCTGTTACATGTACTTGCAGTTGATTCATAAACAAAGCTTCTGTAGTCAATCTCTCCCTCCACCCGGTGACATCAGATTTTAAAACTGTCATCCTATCTCATCCATCCTATTGTATGGTTGTGTGTAACTGCATGTGGTGAGTGCCACATCTGAACTATTCTCCAGATTTCTTATCTTATTCGGGTCAGCTAATCTAGATTTTGCTAGGTTTTTATGTTCAGCTAGTCTGACTGGCCCCTGTTCTACTAGTTTGACCTATGTACCTGACCTGACAATCATTCCAGCAAGGAGGGTATTAGATAAACTAAATTGTTTTGCTCTAGAGGCTCCACAGGATTGATCCTTCAATCGACAAAGCTTGTTTCTAATTGAGTTCGTTGGTTTGAATGCCAGCCATTTTAATTCCTGACTTGTTAAGGATTCTGTGTAAGGTTTCCGAGATTCTTTCCTTGTATGGAATTACTACTGATGGTTTAGATTCCTTATTGTTGTGTCGTCATTAACATTATTACTATTATTATTATCATTATCATTATTATTGTTATCATTATTATTATTATTAGTGTCACTATCGCTACTATCATCATTTATTTTATTTTAACATTTCCTTACATAATTCCTGACTATTTTATTCGGGTAATTATTAAGTTTCAAGGCTTCTTTTATGTGTATCACTTTATGTCTTAGATTTTCCTGATACTACTTAGTTTTTGTGCTCTGTCACCTGAACATTTCACCAATCCTATTATTATTGACATAGGATGGGATGATCTGAAGTCCAAATATCTGTTTGAATGTGTGGGTTTCCTATAAACACTAGGGTTTAACTTCCCATCTTCTTCCCTTTTTACGTTGCAATCTAACATTGGAAGTTCCCCTTCTTGACTTTCCAATTCATAAGTGAATTGAATTGCCTCTACCTTCGAGTTGATGTGTCCTAGGTAGTTGTTGCGTTGGTGGTTCACTGGTAGAATGTCCACCAACTACGTGGGAGGTCCAAGGTTCAGTTCCAAGCAGACAACCCCCTAAACCCACCTATCTTACTAGCCAACAGTAAGCCTGGACAAGAGGCAAGGCTGGATGTGAAGCCGCTAGCAAATAACACTATTGCTACTGAAACTTTACATATCGAAGGCATATGTTCCATTCGGAAAGCAAATGGAAAAAAGAGCTCCAAGCAGTTAATCATCATTCATTAAAACTAAGGATAAAAATGTCTACCAAAACCCTTTGGAAGAAAAAGTACCAGCAAGAGTAGTAATAAAAGCATTGTGATAGGTTAAATATTTAACTTACAAAGAAAATACGACCTGGTCCTGTAGCACGATTTAAACGTATACCAAATAATCCATTCAGCTGACTAGCGAAAACGTGGACAGCAGATGCACATGTGAAACCACCTAACAGTGGTGCTGACATATATACAACCAGCATGCCCAAACGTAATATACCTAACAAGAACTAGGGGAAAACAAAAATTTGTGAAAATTCAAAAAAAAAACGAAACAAAAAATAAATAGGAGCTGTCTATCTAAGAACTTAACTACTATACAGAAGATAAGTGACTTGATATTTTGAAGCATAACTTTGTAAAGGTTTTCATTGGTATGCCGAAAAATAAATGGAGATGGATCGAACATACGCTACTGAGGAGACTGTTGGATGATATCATAGGCCAGAGAATTGCGCGAGTGGAACCTGAATAGGAAGCGATGAGAGTGATGTTCAAAGGGGGGAGGGTGTGAAGGAGGTCGTGGGAAGAAGAGATGCGAGATATAGGCATAGTTGGGCCAGCTAAAGAGGTTCGCAGAGAGAGTAGGACGAAGTAGAGGTGTGCTGTAGGAGTTCTGTGTTTCGCTCGGAACCCAAGAGAAAAATAATAAGAATAATAATAATAATTTTAGATCTGTTTCCAATCCCTTTGCGTTCCAAGCAGAATATCAGGCCAATATATGTATACAACTTGGGCGCTGTGGTAGTAAGTAATTCCATATTGGTTTGTTTATTTGATGTATCCTATAGTGAAACAGTATCATTTACTCGATGACGTTTCGAACAAAATTTATTGCTTTTCATAATCATATCGTCAATTATAACCACACGACTCTAAAACTTAAGTTTTATATTTTTCTTTGTGTTCTCCTATTTGTCGTAGGGGTAGTAGAATTTTCCAGATATCTGGGACAGGTGTTGAACCATTCCTATTATATGTATTCGCAGTTTATTAGACAAACAGGACAGGAAGTGATACACATAAAAGAAGCCTTGAAACTTAATAATTACCCGAATAAAATAGTCAGGAATTATGTAAGGAAATGTTAAAATAAAATAAATGATGATAGTAGCGATGGTGACACTAATAATAATAATAATGATAACAATAATAATGATAATGATAATAATAATAGTAATAATGTTAATGACGACATCAACAATAAGGAATCTAAATCATCAGTAGTAATTCCATACAAGGAAAGAATCTCGGAAACCTTACACAGAATCCTTAACAAGTCAGGAATTAAAATGGCCGGCATTCGAACCAACGAACTCAATTAGAAACAAGCTTTGTCGATTGAAGGATCAATCCTGTGGAACTTCTAGAACAAAACAATTTAGTTTATCTGATACCCTCCTTGCTGGAATGATTGTCAGGTCAAATACATAGGTCAAACTAGTAGAACAGGGGCAGTCAGACTAGCTGAACATAAAAACCTAGCAAAATCTAGATTAGCTGACCCGAATAAGATAGGAAATCTGGAGAATAGTTCAGATGTGGCACTCACCACATGCAGTTACACACAACCATACAATAGGATGGATGAGATAGGATGACAGTTTTAAAATCTGATGTCACCGGGTGGAGGGAGAGATTGATTACAGAAGCTTTGTTTATCGAATCAACTGCAAGTACATGTAACAGGAATGATTCATCACCTGTCCACCCAGATATCTGGAAAATTCTACTAACCCTACGACAAATAAGAGAAGACAAAAAAACTACGAAACTCAAGTTTTAAAGTCATGTGATTATAATTGGTGATATGATTATGAAAAGCAATAATTTTTGTTTGAAACGTCATCGAGTGAATGATACTGTTTCACTTTAGGATACATCTAATAAACAAACTAATATAGAATATCAGGCTTTTGGTCTGAAGTTTCAGTAGCGGCGGTGTTGTGTTCTTACGAGGTGGGCTTGACAACAGTCTGATACCCGAAACTTCCTTTCCTCTTCACCGGTTTTATTACTCACTAAGCTAGGTTTACGAGTCCATTAGCCAGCAGTCGAACGCAGATTATAAAAAGTCAGAATAAAAATATTTTGGTTAGTTGGTAATGACAGACAATTTTCTGCTTACGCTCCAAATATGTTCCAAATAATCAGTATTAGTAGGTATTAAACATAAAAATTGAGTACCCTATCAACTACTTTATGCGTTTGTTCGATTTCACTTTTCATACGACATCTCTACGACACTGTGCAGCTGCCTCCAATCCTTTTCATAGGGTAACTTTCTATCACTGAAATACCACAATACTTAAGCTTGGTGACATTAACATTGGACGCAAAATTATAAGCATAGATTCAGACCTATTCATAGGATTGGGAAAAGAACAATTATATTTAGTAAATATACAATTCTGACGCCATTCTATGGAGGCATGTGGAAACAGATAATGTCCACTACCAAACACGATCTTCCCTTTCAGAAAGAAGGATTATTTGAAGAATCGTGGAATTGCATAATGTCACTTCATCCTTCTTTATAGACACATTCATCTTAGGTCTGCTGGTAGAACTTACTAGGCCTGACAAGTCATTCATGAGGCGCTTGCCATGTCAAATCCTGCCACGAACCAAATTTCAGTTTCATTTTGTGCATCGCTGTGACCCGAGCAACACTAGCTAGAACGAATGTGTCCTCCAGGTCCTACCATGCACGAAGGGCTGTTTGAATAGAGTTTACACTGAAAGCAGTTACCATTTTGTAATAGAAGTTTGAAGGCTACACACACACACACACACAACTATAAAAGTGATTTAAAAATCACTAATGTTCCTTCTGTTTCAGGCACTTCAAAAAGAAAGCAATCACCCACACACTTCCATATTGGTGGGGAATGCTCAGTCTCTGTTGACACGTCAGTGCCTTGTACATGAGCTTCAAGGATATCTGAACATTACCATGATGCTATTTGAAATTGTTGAAACTAAGTTAGGTTGGGCGAACGTTTGGCGTTTATAACAGGACTGGTGAACATGCAGTTGTACCTAAAGGGAACTGGAAACCCTGATTGCAAATCCAAAGCATGCATGGCACCAGAATCCAAAAGGATAGAACAGCGTATGAACCTGTTTCAGTCACCATCATCCATGGGAACACTGTTCCTGACGCTATTCCACCGCCTCGTGGATCAGATTTCAAGTGAAAGGTCCGGAGTGGGGGTGGCTCTTTAAGACAACCACCTTCTTCGGTTGAGGCATCAGAGCCGTATTTCAGCCATCGCACAAACTATAGGATTTTGTATAACACATCTCCCTGGTGCTCATAATGTACCGATTTTGTGTTTTAATAAGCAATAGGATAGATTTGAAACTAAACCTCAAGAGCTGAAATGTAGAATATGTACTAACCAGCGGTCGTATTCCATTTATTAGTATTAAACCAAGACAGGTTTGCACAGCAATCTGTTAACTAAACTAGTTATCTGAAAGGCCGACGGATAGCTGCCAACTTGAAGCGGTGGTCGGGCTTGCATATCTTAATGACTCAACAAGCTAGTCTGGCTGCAACTAACGTTTCTAAAGGTCCTACCCTGCCAAGAACATTGTTAGGACAGCATCTAGACTGAAATTAGTCACTGGCATAGTGTAAATTTTTTACACTATGTTGGGTGTCTGACGGAAAAGTTGTACTGCTGGGGGACAGAAATCGTTGACGAAATCTCAGCATGGATACAGAAGGCTCGTGTGGCATTTGCCAACCGACATCCTTATTGGCATAGAAATGATATCCAGTTGTCGACCAAAAGCGTGTATACTGCTCAGAAGTTCACTCCATCCTCCTTTATGGCTGTGAAACATGGCCACTGAAAGTGGAAGATACGAAAAGGCTATATGTCTTTGATCATAGATGTCTGAGTTCTATCTCCCGTGTTAGGTGGTATGTTAGGGTGGGCAGTATTGAGGTTAGGCTTTGGTAGAGTGCTAGGTAGAGAGGGGAAATCAATCAACGAGGTTGTGAAGTTACATGGATTGAGACGGTGGTTGGAAAAGAGTTAGCCAGCTAGTGGTGGTCAGGCGAAAACATGACATAGGTCAAGGAAATCCACAACAGCTAGTTTAAGCCAACCAGGCACGTACGGAGTTGTAGACTTTCTGACTGGTTGGGATCTTCAGGATGGCAAAAACCAATGTTGATGTAGAAGTCATCACTTGCTGTATGAAGTCTGAATACACGACAAAAGTTTGGCTAACCCTCCGATTTTTCTTTTTTTTTAATATCTGAATACATACATGAGATGGTATGCAGAGGAATTCAATTAAAAAAGAAAACAAATTCCAACTTACTTGAAATATTCCGCCTAGAATACAAACAGTCACAACAATCTTAACACGAAAATCATCTAACTGAGTTTCATTGAAAACTTGATATTTTTCTAAAGAACGATTGTTTGCATCGAATTTTGAGACTAGTCTGTCAACAGGATCAGACGTCAATAGGGCAACAACAGCAAAAGTACCTGTAGACGAAGAAATGTTTACTACATTATACTGAGTTAGAGTTATGCATCTAAAATAAGTAATAATACTACCAATTTCGAGTATATTGAGATGGTTAGGACATGTGTTACGTATACCTAGTCATCGCCTTACTCGACGGACAATGTTAACTGACATAGGGTCAGGCTGGAAAAGAGTCAGCTAGCGGTGGTCAAACCAAAACATGGCACCAGTCGATGAAAACCACAACAGTTGGTTTAAGCCACGTTGGAAGGTGCAGACCTCCTGGTTGGGGTCCCCGGGACGGTAAAAACCAATGGTTGGAAAAAATTGGCGATATGGCTGGCTCAAAATCGTTGTCAACGGCTGGCGCAGATGCATCCTTTCTTGTGACATATGATTTCCAGTGAAATTATATTGTTCTTCGTTATTACTATTCCTTTGTCTCACACCTCTCTATTACACATTTCTTCTACTTTCTTCTCTTGCTTTGTGTGTGGCGACTTGAACTGCCACACATCGGTGCAAAATTCTATGTCGAAAACAGACAGACAGACGGACAGAATTTCGAGAGTAAAAGTAATGAGAATATTATTATTATTATTCCCTTTCGTTCCGAGTAGAACATAGGGCTTCAACAACACATCTCCACTTTCTTCTATTTTCTGCTGTCCTCTTCACCTAGGTCTATGATTGACCAGAACCTCTCATCTCCTCTTCGCACGATCTCCTCCATGTCATCCTGGCAATGACGACCTACTCGCTGCCTTCCGATAGCGATTCCACTCGAGTGATGGCTTGCATTGCTCGCTATGTAGCTCGACGGTCTCTTCAATGTATGCCCAATCTATCTATATTTTCTCTTAAATATTTGTTGATCGATCAGTTCTCACCTGTTGGTTTGTTCGCCACCAGAGTTTCTTGTCACTAATTCTTTCTGATAATTTGATCTTCAGTATGGAGCCAGCGAAGGCAGCTGTTGGTGAAAGTTTGCAACCTGTTGGAAATCTTTTTTATGACACACAGTACAAGCTTCTGACCCGTATAGAAGGACCAACTTGACACTGGTGTTGAAAATGCAAATCTTGTTCTTTATGCATACTTCATTTCGGAGTACCCAATGGGGGTAGTTGTCTAGTAGGAGACAATTACAGCTTTGTATTTAAACTTTCGAACTTAGAGAAAGAATAACATTTAAAACATCAATCGTTCTGGTAGAATTCACAGATAAACTGCTGTCAGCAGGTGGATGAATGCAATATTTTACAAATAATAATTAGTTTTGTGCAAGTACATGGTAAAGATGACTGAAAATAGCTGATTGAGTTTTCAACATAGAATCTTTGTACACAAGTGCAGAACTTTACGTTTCCATACTTTACATACCACACAGAGGTATAGAAAGAGTTTCAAAAGAGTTACAATAAGCGGAGATGTAAGGGAAAGAGAATAGTAACTAGGAAAGAGCGAATCATTTCTTCGTCGCTGAGGACATTTTTGAGCCATATCATCAATAGTCTTCAACCATTAGTTCTTAGCATCTCAAGGACTCTAACCAGGAAGTCTACACCTCCTTCTGTGACGTGTTCAAACCAACCTTTAAAGACTTCATGGAGTGATGACAGGTTTCGGTTTGACCAACCTTATATTTCAGCTAATATCTCTCGTCAAGGAATGTGATGACTCAGCATGCACAACACGTGTCCTAATCATTTCAATCTACATAGCTTCACAACTTCGTCGACTGATCTGTTCTCCTTAACTAGCACTTTACGCCTAACCTTGGCATTATTCACCATGTTATACCATTTAACAAGACAGACAACGCAGACATCTATAGTCAAAGACAGTTAGCCATTTCCATTTCTTCCAGCCATACAGGAGGACTGGAATAAATTGAATATATGAGAAATGTCTCAAGCGTTCTTTCGTTTATTTTAAACTCAATGTTAGGAATTCTGAACATTTAAAACTATTCTATAGTTTTGTTTGTAAAGGATAGTTTTATTTATACGAGTTGATCACGGATTGATATCAGTTAGAGAACCATTGAAAACCAGGAAGTACTGGAGAGCCATCTGATTCATCCTAATTTGGGAATAATCGGGAGTACGTACCCACCACCAGGGTTTGAACCCAGGACCTTCCTGTTACAAGGCAAGCTCGTATACCATTCAGCCACTGGGACCCGATTCAATGGCCAGCCCATGAATTATAACTTCTTCCAATTCGTGATTTAGCTCGACCTCAACCATTGTCGTAGGTGGGACATCCATCCTCACACGTGACATCTGGATGGACCTCACTGGTTACGACTTCTCACTAGAACTCCAGTAGACTCCATCCTGTAGCAAGTCACTAGCGAGCATCAGATTGATTTTCTATAGTTTGGTTTGTAAGGGTTAGTTTTGTTTTCATGAGTTGATCACGAATTGATATCAGTTAGAGAACCATTGGAAACCAGTTGGGAGTACTGGATAGCTGCTGTTCCATCCTAGTTTGGGAATCATCGTGAGTACGCACTTTGACAGAAATAATATCATACTCAAATTCATTCGAATGCAGTTAGAAGACTTAGATAAGTTTAAAAATCACTGGTTAAGATGAAATAATCAACACCAATCTTCATTTTGAATTTACCTCTTCTAAATACTGAGATAGATTTTTTTTTAAATTTGCACAGTTTATCAAAGAAACAGCAGTGAAATAAAGGATAGGCATTTTCATTAGGAAAAAAGTTCAATCACACTCAGTTAAGTGAAAACTACTTAAATAGTTTTCAGTAGTAAATAGACATCCGTTTAATCATGTTAATTTATATATCGTCGTTGGCTCAATGGTAGCATACTCGCCAACCACGCACGCGCTCAAAGGTTCGACTCTCGGTCGACGCATTCCTAAACTTCGCTTAGCTGACAGCAAACTCTGTAAAGATGAAAGGTTGAGGGTGAAGCTAGCAACCCGCCCAACCCCAACCCCATAAAAAATAAACACCAAGCTACTGAAACTTGAAGCCCTATCTTCTACTCGGATCACAAAGGAATAATAATGATAAATAGAATATTCAAGTGTTGGTCGGTAGGGATTTGATTGCTTACAGGATTTCATCATGAGCTGACATTGGTTAGAGAACCATTGGAAAACAAGCTGGGAGTACTGGACAGCTGTTTCATCCTAGTTTGGGACTCTTCAACAGTAATCACCCACCACCAAGGTTAGAACCCAGGACCTTCTGGTTACAAGGCCAGCGAGCTAGCTAGTAGACCATTAAGCCACTGGGACTCGATCCACTGGCTCATGAATTCTAACTTCTTCCAATTCACGATTTAGCGCAACCACGAATTCTCACTAGAACTCCAGGTAACTACTACCTACCTGAATAGGGCCAGTCGCCAGTGAGCATCTCATCGATATTTGTGTGTTGGTTTGTAGAACAGAAAATGGAATAAACTACTTTATAGTGGATGAAAGGTGGTTGAATTTCAATTTTTCCTTTTTTTCTCCATATAACACACTACAGTTAGTAAATTTAAATACTAGTTTACAGTTATTTATACTGATCTTTATGCAAAATAACGACTTACAATTTAACAGACAGTTCCCTGTCTAATGAGTCACTTGTCTTTAGTTTTCCATTGTATAACCAACTGACTTATCCATCAGCACTGTAAAATTATAATTCTTAGCCCCCTTTAATTGTAAAGTACTGACGCATATGTATGCTTTTCCCAGCCTTTTGTATTCAGAATGGAGCATACGGCTTCTAGTTTTAGTTTTGTAGTTTCCCCTAGGGGTGGTGTTGCTAGCGGGCTCAAACTGGGCTTGCAACCGGCTATGCAAGGCTTAGAAGTACGTCGGCCGGAAATCCAACCCGGACCGCATGCCTATTTGGCAAGGAACCTACCAAGGATCCATTGACGCGATGATACTCAGTTCACAGTTCACTACTGTTTCCTTCGGAAAGCAAATATGTGACCTGTTTTGTACCATAAATTACAATCAACGTATCAAGGTTATGTACACTACCGATGAAGTAGTTGGAAACCACTAACATCACATCAGACAGTAGTGATGGTCGTGACAGTGAATAGCCACTTTGTTTGTTTGTAGCCGATGTTATGAACGGTGTATCAAGTTACGCTCAGTTCAGTCAGCTAAATTATCTCCAACTAAACCGTTATTTTGCCGACCTTATTGACTGATATTAAGTGGTATAAAGGAGATCATATTTAGTGAAATAAACATTTTGGGTTCCTGAGGAAAAACGTGATATCTCACTTCAAACGATGTTATTTACAAATGAATAGTTTGACTTTGCGCATAACCAATCCACCTACTCCGAAAATGGACAGTTTCGAACTGGTTGAGTTTTTTTAGCTGATTCTAGCCTAGAAGATAACTACTGATAACCTCTTTCACTGTATGAACCATGTGGCGTGTGTTACGGACAAGACATTTTCAGTAGTGCATAAAGAGACATCCATCAGCATAAAAAATATCAAGTATCGGAGACACAGATTTGACGTCAAAAGAAAGGAAATAAACCCGTGTAGTGCGGTAAAACATGGGAGACACGAAAAGAAGACAAAAAAGCAGAATACGAAGAGTAGAAGTAGCACAACACCGAAGATCTGTGCAAATGACGATTTTAATATAAGGCATATATAACTTCCCTATATATGTATGTCAAGTTGCTGATAAACATTCCGTTATCAAACATTACGAAATGACATAAATTGTTCCCAACTATTCATACCATCTTGCAAAATATTGTTGTTGTTATTATTATTATTCCCTTGAGATCCTAGTGGAACATAGGGCTTCACCAACACATCTCCACTTTTTTCCATTATCCCAGATTGCCCATAACCTCTCATATCCTTCTAGCACAATCTTCTCCCTGTCACCTAAGGACGACCCACTCGTTATTTCCCCATTCAGGTTCCCCTTGAGCGATGGTCTGGCACGCGGTGTCATTCAACGGTTTTCTCAGCGTATGACCAATTCATCTCCATTTTCTCCTACATATCTTTTGGGCAATCGGCTCTTGGTTGATTTATTACCGGTTTTTTCTTGCTAATTCTTCCTGGCCAGCCATTTGATCTTCAGTATAGATAAAACAGAGATGATGAAGATTCCTAGCCAACATCAACAACAACAACAGACAACAATCAGCATAAGTGGGAAGAACCTGAAAGAAACAACCTCCTTCACCTACCTGGGAAGCATCGTCTCAACTACAGGCGGAACTGACGAGGACATCAAAGCCAGAATCGGAAAAGCAAGACAAGCTTTCATTACTCTCAAATCTGTGTGGAGGTCAACAGCACTCAGCATCAAAAATAACATCCGGATTTTCAACTCCAATGTGAAGTCAGTGCTACTATACGGATCAGAGACTTGGCGAGTCATAAAGAGCATCTCAAACAAACTTCAAACCTTCATTAACAGCTGTCTCCGCTCAATACTCAAGATCAGATGGCCAGAAAAGATCAGCAACAGGGATCTCTGGGAGCGAACCAATCAGGAACCGATTGTGAAACAAATAGGCAGAAAGAAATGGAGATGGATTGGCCATACGCTGAGGAAACCATCAAGTGACATCACAAGACAAGCCCTCGATTGGAACCCGAAAGGGAGGCGGCGAGTTGGTCGTCAGTGCGAGGGTGACTTGGAGGAGGTCATGCGAGGAGGAGATGAAAGCATGTGGACAGACCTGGAGCAGGGTGAAAAAGTTGTCAGAAAACCGAAGGCAATGGAGGTGCCCAGCTGAAGCCCTATGTTCCTCTAGGAACTAAAGGATACAATAATATAAATAATAATAATAATAATAATAATAATAGAGACGGCGAAGGCAGCAGTTGTTGATAAAGGTCTGTGACTTTTTTGGAAATTCTTTTGTGACAACTGAATTTCTGGCTCACATAGAAGAACTGACTTCACCTATATGTTGAAAATCCGAATCTTCTTCTTTATGTGTTGAGTGCAGAGAATTTCCAAATTGGTTTCAGGTTGAAAAAGGTGTATCTTACCTTTCAATTCTGGATGGCTTTGACATCTTCATCTATTCCTAATTCCTGTGGTGAGAAACTATGCTTCCTAGATAAGTGAAGGTAGTAACCGCTTGAGAATTTCTCCAGCTGATAGTGATTGCTTCTGTTTGTTGTTGCTGTTGATTGGTTAGTTACCTACCTTCATCACCTCCGTCTTCTCTAAGTTCCCCTGGAGTCTCCTGTCTTCACCGCTTCTTCGGCCAGTTTGTTGGTTACCGCCTACATTTCTCTGAGTTTGTGTGTCACATATTAAACATAAACCACCTAATAAATTCAGATCTTCTAGGTTCTTCTTATCAGTCCAACGTATTCTTGTCTTCTCATCACTCCAAATGCACAATCTGACGCATAATCCAGACAACCACAGTTGCCAAACACCCCTTCATAATAAACTTCTTCACTGTCATGAAAACTTGCTACAGTTCCCAAATTCATAAACATCCGTGAAAATCAACTCAAGAAACTTCACAGTGATTATAAGTCTCCAAACCATCTCACTGCTGTATGTTATTTCGCATTAATACTACTGAAAATTAACATACGCATTAGTCTTAATGTAACATCAAAACAATAGTCCTATGTTAAGTAATGAAATTGAAAGCATTCATAACAGCTACATAAAGGACTGCTCCTATATGTAATAAGAAATAAGCTTTAATATTCAAGTATTGGTTTGTCCTAGAACTAGGACGAAACAGCTCTCCAGTACTCCCAGCTTGTTTTCCAATGGTTCTCTAACTAATGTCAGCTCATGATGAAATCCCGTAACCAATCAACCAAATCCCTAGAAATCAATACTTGAATATTAATGAGATGCTCACTGGCGACTGACGCTATTCAGGTGGCTAGTTACTTGGGGTTCTTGTGGGAAGTCGTGACCAGTAGGGTGCACCAGGTCGGGTGTGAGGACAAATACTCACCGAAGAGAGTGGCAAATGGTTGCACTATATTGTGAATTGGAAGAAGGTAGAACTCATGGGTCACTGGGTCGGGTCCCAGTGGCTTAATGGTATACGAGCTCGCCTGGGTTTGAACCCCGGTGGGTGCGTACTGATGAAGAGTCCCAGAATGGGACGAGACAGCTCTCCAGTACTCCCAGCTTGTTTCCCAATGGTTCTCTAACTAATGTCAGCTCATGATGAAATCCTCTAACTAAGCTATAATATATATTTCTACATTCTATCAAACGGCGCTCATAGAAAAAAAAACAGAATTAACAAACTTACCTACTGATACATGGCGTGATGTACTAAAGAAAAAATATACCAATGAGGGAAAAAATGAGGTATACAATCCATTTATAGGTTTAGCTCCAGCTAAAAGTCCATATGCCATGCCTATTTTGTTAAAAAAAAAAAAAGAAAATAGATTCTATCTCACAGCAAATAACAACAAGCCTACCTTGTGGTACATGAACTATTGACATTGTTATCCCAGCAACTACATCTGATAGAAATGATTGGAATGTATAAAATGATGCCAATACAGAATAAAATGGAAATATATAGGATAAAACACTAAGAAATCTCAAGCATGTACAACTTCTTAGGATTGCAGAGAGAGATAGGGGTTTGCGCACTTCAGTTGATCGATGATACTCTTCTGAAAACTTGTTCACAGTATATACTTCACGTGTTACTGAATACTTTGAATGTAGTAATTCGATATCGGTGTTATCATCATCATCATCTTTTGACATCTGAAAAATATTATAAATGACAGGTTAATCTTCATCATAGAAGGTAAAAATAGTGTTTAAAAAGAGTACTTAAAACCTAACTGATATTTATGTAAACACTGTTTAAAAAGAAAAAGTCTGCATCAGCATTATCGTTCTTCAAACCATTGGAAAATGTCTAGTGGTGTAAGTTATAAATGGAACAGTCTTTAAAACGACAATTCACAGACTTAATAAAGGACGACCAGTTATATGCAAAAAGCAAACTTGTCTATTTTACTTGAATCAATCAGAGATTAATGCGTGGTATAGATAGACCGTTTGTCCATGTGTACAAACTATATACTACACACAAACTATACACTTCTTAGGAATGAGGCATAATGTAAGTAAAGTTTTTATGAAGTCTGGGAAATTCTGAATGACTGACTAAGTTACAAGATAGTGTACTTAGCATAGAAGTGCAGCAGTTCAATTAGCTAAAATCGATGTAAAACACAAAGATAGAAAGAAAAAAGAGGTTTAAAAGGACTAAATTAATGAGAATATTAGGATATTACAAGAAAAAGGTTCTGAAGTGGTTAGAAATGAGTAAAGATGACTACACACTTAAAGTGTAGGATGGTCGGGGGTGGGTGCCTTGCGCTGCGGGTTGGCCACCCCTCCGCACACCTCTTGAAATGCTCCCATATGACCGTGCGTCTTACATAGCCTCTCCTGAGGAAGTCCTACTCACTGCCTTCACGTGGCGGAGGTGTTTCTCACTAAAGTGAGAGGGCGAAAGCGGATGCCCGGCGCTCTCCACCGGGTTGACTGTCCATTGGATGACAGTCTAGGGGAGATGGCTAAACCCTGATTCCAAACCTCCAACGACTGGCGTATGAAGCTCACCGGAGCTCACCGGCAGACGTATGGACAAAGGTTGCGGCCCTAAAAGACACGCGCAGGCTCCCTGTGTAAGAAAAAGCGGTAACCATAACGCAACACTTAAAGTTAAGTTAATTTTAGAAGACTCATCAAGATTTGTATTGAACAGTATGAATAAGGATATGAATGAGTCCATAAAGAAGCGAATTACTAAGAAAAGGGAAGAGCTTCTAAAGAATAAATCAATAAACAGTTCAAACTATAATGATTTTAAACCACGTAGTTCGCAACTGCTGCACATGTGTGATTTGCCCAAGATACATAATCCTAGTGTTCCAGTGAAACCCTTAATTCACCCTACCGTAAAATCTCGCCAGATGGTTAGTTAGATGTTATGACTAATTCATAAAAAGCTGAGAATACATCATTCGAATGACAACTTTGAATTTACCTGGAAGTAGAAAGTCTAAAAATCACCAAAAGAAGTCATGGTATCATCTGATATTACCTCATTATTCACAAATATCCCACTGAAACAAATTGCAGAAATTGTATGTTGACATTCCGACTTGTTTTCTTTTTATGAACAAGAATTTAAACACCTCATGTGCACTAAGAATATCCAGTTCAAACTCAACGACGTTTTGAACCTCCAGACTGATGGAGTTGCGATGGGCAGTCCATTAGATCTCTTGCTAGCGAATAATTTTTTGGGTTCGCTTGGACGGAGGAGCTTAAAACACTCAGTCTACGATGACCCTTCATGAAAGATATGTTGACGACATAGTGTGGTGATTGACTATTTCTATCTTTGTATTGTTTAAATACTTACTGTTGATTGTTAATATTTCATATATGAATTGCATAATAATTCCGCTAAATACAAATTCCTGAGTTCTGCCCTCTCTGTGTTTTGGTTGGATTCGTGTAATTCGGTCATCTCGAAATACTAATACTACGATTACAATAAATTACTACAAATTGGCGTCGCGATGGAACTAAATAACCTGGGAAAACTTCCTATAAATGCTACTCCGCGGGAGATTGCTGATTATTTGGAATGCTTCGATGCGTGGTGCATTTCCAAGAATGTTCGGGATGACAAAATACCAGCACATTTCATCACTGCTATTGGGCTAGATGCGTATAGCCTAGTAAAGACTCTGTCATTTCCAGAAAAACCAATTTCTCTGCCATATGCTAAGCTCCGTGAACTTCTTATAGATCACTTCCATATAACTACTTTTGAGACGCGAGAGAGGGCTCACTTCAACAAACTGGTTCGTGCTCCCAACCAGAAGATTCGAGAGTTCATTCTTCAACTTCAAATTCAAGCTTCAAAGTGTAACTTTGGAGATCAGCTGCATACTCAACTACGTGATCGTCTAATTGCTGGAATCAATATTCCTAAGTTAGAGAAAGAGTTAATTCAGATTCCTTCTTGTACTTTTCAAACTGCTAAAGATTTATGTATTACATATGAAGATGTCAATAATGAATACTCTGCTCCCACTACGTCAGTATCTGATGTTATGCTTTCTAAAGTCGAAAATACAAGTGGTCATGGAAAGCAATCCAAACTGTCGTCCACAGGTAATAGAATGCAGCGAGAGATCAAAAACATTAAACCGTGTTTTTCCTGTGGAAAGTTACATCTACGAAGCACTTGCCGTTTTCGGGGTGCTAAGTGTCACAAATGTGGTAAAGTTGGACACATCAAGACTGTTTGCAGAAGTTCGAATACTTATGTTACTCAGAATCCTGATAATTCTTCCAATTTATCTGGTAAAATGCAGTCGATGTCTCTTTCAACTTTTCCCAATACTCAATCTCATCTAATGAGAACCTTCACTACAAGTTCAGGCAAGTCCCATTGTTTTATAATTGATACTGGGAGTACTGAATCTATAATTTCTAAGAAAGATTTACAATCGATTTGTAAGAATGTCCAGATAGACCCTACTACTAGTTCAATTACAGGCATAACTGGTCATAAATTACCTCTTATCGGTGCTACTAACATTTCTTTGAAATCAGACAGTGGTAATTTTGTAAATATTCCCTTTCTTGTTAGTGAATATGGTCCATCTTTATTGGGATTAAAAGCCCTTAGATTGTTAAATGTCGAAATCTCACTTTGTACTGAGTTGTTTGATGAATCTTTGTTCAGAGAATTACTTCTCCAATGTTCAAAGAGTGTAGGTGGTATGAAGATTCAGCCCATCCATCTTGAAATAGAGGGTGATCCTATCTTCCTGAAACGCCGATTAATTCCATATGGATTGCGAGATGCAGTTAAGAAAGAGTTAGACAAGTTGGTTGAGCAAGGCATACTTATGCCAGTTGAGTCTTCAAATTGGGCTACTCCTATTGTTACGCCACTAAAGGCTGATGGAAAAACACCTAGAATTTGTGGTGACTACCGCCTTACACTCAATAGTCGTCTACTACAGCAAAGTTGCACTACTCTAGAAACTGAAGACATTCTCTACAAGCTACATGGCTCAAGATACTTTTCCAAAATAGATCTAAAAGATGCCTATTTGCAAATTCCTCTTGATGAGGCGTCTAGTGCATTAACAACCATTAATACTCCATTTGGATTGTTCAAGTATAAGTTCTTGCCTTTTGGTTTAAAGGTTTCACCTGCAATATTTCAAAATGTAATAAATCAGATGATAGATGGATTAGATGGTGTTGAGTCATACCAAGACGACATTATAGTTCATGGTCCTAATATCGAATTGCATAATGAACGTCTTTTAAAACTGTTCAGGCGTTTATGTGAGAATAATGTTCTTGTTAATCCATCTAAATGCCATTTCACTTTGTCGTCTGTATCATGCTTGGGATACACAGTAGACTCCGAAGGTTTCAGACCTGATGCTAGTCGTTTGGCACCTCTAATTCAAGCACCGTCACCTAATAATATGTCATCGTTGAGATCATGGATAGGTACTCTTCAGTTTTACTCCAGATTCATTCCCAACTTCACTCAACGGTTATCTCCACTTTTTGAGATTGTCTCCAGTAAACAGTTTAAGTGGGAACAACAACATGAGAATATCTTGCGAAAAACTTTGGAGTTTCTTAATAAACAAGCTTTCTTAAGACCTTTTTCATCGAAAGATAAGTCTGTTCTCACTACAGATGCTTCTCCTATGGGTATAGCTGCAGTACTTGAGCAAAATGGACAACCTGTTATTTGTATTTCAAGACGTCTAAGTAAGAGTGAACAAGGGTACTCACAAACCCAGAAAGAAGCTCTAGCAGTTGTATGGGCAATAAGACGCTTGCACAAGTATCTCTTTGGTACTAAGTTTCACATAGTTACTGATCATCAAGCTTTGAAATTCATTTACAATCCAGAAAAATCTTTGAATAAATCATCTGCTGCTATGGTTCAAAGATGGAGTTTAGAACTAAGTGCATATGATTACACTATTGAACATAGATCGGCAAAGGATATACCTCATGCAGACTTCTTATCTCGTTATTCATTATTTGAAAATATTGCTAATGATACTGATTGCTTATTAGTCCAGCCGTTACCGGTGGATCGAGTTCGACTTATAAATGATACTCGGAAATATTACGGATGTGTTATAAATGCAACAAAAAGAGGTTGGAATGTTCAGTGTAAGCGAAGATTTCCAGACTTTTATAAGCGAAGAGATGAGATTTCAGTCCATCCTGAAGGATTTCTATGTCTGAATGACAGAATTATTATTCCTCCAACATTAAGATCTGCGATTTTGGATGATCTACATTCTGCTCATCTAGGAGCTGATAAGATGAAATCATTAGCACGCCTAACATGCTGGTGGCCGGAAATTGATGCTGACATTAACAAAAGATCAAAGAGCTGTTCTAGCTGTTTACATAAAATGTCCTATGGGAAGTCATCGTGGACACCGTGGCCTGCATCTTGTGAGGTTTGGCAGCGTATTCATGCAGATTACTGTGGTCCATTCTTAAATTCATATTATGCTTTAGTTATTGTGGATTCTTATTCTAGATGGCCAGAAGTCATCATTACAGATAGTCCTAATGCCAAATTCACTCACAGAGCGTTGAGAAAGATTTTTAGTCGAGAAGGAATTCCAGATGTCTTAGTTACTGACAATGGTACTCATTTTACGGAGAAGAACTTC